GTGAGAAACTTATTTGATAATGGACCAATTTTCACAAAAATTAAGTTGAAGTTCACATGTTAACAAAAACTCAACATACGAGGAAACGCACAAGCACTTTAAACAATACGTCAACGAATTGTAATCTTTCTTTAATTGGATGCAAAAACATTGAAAGCCAGTGATTTGTTAACCTTAACGCCATATAAGTGCGTAATTGCAAATAATTTCCGCAATTACTGAATCATTTACAAGAAAAGTGTCAGAAATGAAAGGTATTTCAAACTTCTCGAGAAACGGAATACATCTATACATATAATAAAATTGGAGTGACTGTAATATCGAAAGTAAAAATTCCAGTAAAACGCATTTAATTTTTTTTTGTCTGTCAGCAAGCCGCATTTGTTCCGGGTAAGCTTCGAACCGGCTGAAGGGTAGCCGACATAGACGGGAATATTATAGGTTACTTTATTATTTTTATATTGCGTAGATGAAGTCGCGGGCAACAGGTAATTTTAAATACAAAACAAAAAATCAGATACTACGAAGGTCATAGCTAACCAATACAACGCACCCTGGTTGAAACACAAGGTAAAGTGAAAGTAATTTTTCTAGAAAAACATTAAAGCTAACTTCGCATTATTTAGTTTGCATATCAAGTAATAATAATTTTCCAAAATAATTCATTAACATTGGCCTCTATTGGATATTAATTCAAGGTCAGACGCGTATTTAATTCCACCGTAAATATTCATGGACATTTAAATAGCATAATGAAAATTATACTTTAGTATATAATTCAAACGTTACGAACATTTGAGTATAAAAGTATTTACGTCAAACTGTTTTTCATTTTTTTAAGTATTCCAAATTGTAGCTTATTAAATGTATTATGCAATTTGGTATCCTTAGTTAAAAACAAAAATAAACTTGTAAACCCTTATTTAAAGCAACCAGTTAAAAATGGTCAGTATACTAATATATTTTATGACAAATTTAAATAGACATATTACAAAATAATTTTGACAAATATTAAGCCTCCTGGAAATTAGGCAAAAATTACACAAACCAGGTCGCGCGCATACTAACCGAGAATACTGATTGCCATACATAAATATACGAATTTCCAGTTTTACTTGAACTGGCCAAGATAAAAAATCTAATGTATAATGACCTCGACTTGTAACGAGTTAATATATTATTATATTAGGCAAGAATTAAAAAAATATTAACACTAGTTTCCGTGCGGCTTCATCCGCTTGACATAAAAACAATATTTACGTCCCGAAAAAAAATTTCAACAATGAAGGCCCTGCTATTGGGTGAGAATTTAAGTAACCATGGAAACCTTGATTATTTGGCGGTATTGACTTGTAGTTTTGTCCCTTTCATACATACATATTCACTAATTTATTCTGAACAAACACATTGGCTACTGTTTTTTTTTAATTTCGCGCCGAAAGTCACATGCAAAAGCTAGTAAAAGGATGAATTATTGAACAGAATAATAAATTAAAGCATATCAAGGTATAAAAACCATTTAGAATTTTGATTAGACAGGGATAAGAAAAAAAATCCAAGGTCACATATTTAAGCTTATAATTACGACAGGCACAACAAAATAAATAAAGAATTCAAATCATTACCCAGTGGACAAAAGGAACCTCTAATGTACCAGTTAAGGTAGAGAGAGGGATGTAGAGAGGAAGGGAGAGTGGGAGAGAGAGGGAGGGAGAGAGTGTGAGAGACAGAGTATGGGTTAACCCTTAACGCATCTTACTTCATACTAGAGATCCATTATTAAGGTAGTTAATTAAAAAATACTCATGCGAAACGTGACGTCGTAAATGATCGTAAATTACAACTTTCTAAACGTAAATGCATATTTCTAATCATCGATATATCATATTGACTTTATCTGAGTAACATTTAGCGACTGATAGCGGAGGTTTTATTTATACTGTAAAGGTCGCGGTGTCATATCCAGAAAGGTTTACGTTGAGAAAGTTTTACAATTTGTCAAATACAATGTCAATAGACGATGATAGGCAACAATAATAAAAAAATAGCATAAATGAAATTTTAAAGAATTTTTTAAAAATCCTGACAAGAAATTTATCAATGTAATAATATAAATGCGAAAATTTAGATTGATATTTCTTGAGTCTGTAGCCTAAACGGTGGAACGGATCTCGAAAAAAATATGCATAGATGTAGATAGCTTGGAAGAACACACAGGCACACTTTTGTTTGTTCAAATTCAACGCGGACAGAGTCGCGGACGAAAGCTAGTAAAAACAAATAATAAAAATATAGGAATACGACAGTTTTGTCTCCAACTCTCTGAAATAACATTCGTTAAAAAAAGCGAATTACAAAACATGATAAAAGGTATCATTTCATTTAGCAAAGCAATAAATCTCGCCACATCAAAAGCGTACTTGAATATAACGGCCTCGAATAAAACGCATTTAGATTAGTCTTATTGGGGTGAGGTAACTCCCAACAGCTGAGTCATACCACTTGAACTACTGATGAATCTAACACTCAACTATATTGAAGCGATCGCTTGAAAATGTACCTTTACAATTCTAACAGTTTGTATACTTTCAGACTACAATAGAGTAAATACAGTTTGAATATTATTTTGAAATTCACTTCCTCAACCTAAAAAAAGATTGATGGATAGCGTGAAAGGTGACATGATCAAAAAGGGAGTGATGACTGAGATGACGTATGATAGTTATGTGGAGGACAAAAACCTGTTGCGCCGAAATTATGGGAGTAGGATATGGAGGAAGATTATGATGATGATGATGACTTCCTCGCATATAATATTTTATATATTCCGGCAAAGAAATTCCACGTCAATAGTAAATATAAAAAGATCTCGATTAATAAACCACTAGCTTTTTCCCAGGAAATTTTTCGCGCGGAAATAAAAAAATAAATTCTTCAGAATACTTCAGGACTACTTCCTACATGTGTGCCAATCGAGATCCCTTAATACGTTTTAGAGAAACGTTTTAACAAACATTCATCCAAACTTCGCATTTATAATTGTGGTACGTGTATGTGGCTTTCCGAACGAATATGTAAGAAAATTGTTTCTAAAAGGTGACTACAGTGGATTGAATTGACTGAACGTGTGAAAGACTGGAGTGAACCTAGGAAGAGACTGAAGCGAAGAGACGGACGTGGACGAAGGTTTTCCATGTTAAAAACGAAATATAGGGTTAAGGGTGTGAAATAAAGTGATTAAAGGGAAAAAACTGTATATTTACAGCCCCAACCCTTCATAATATTAGGGAGATAAGATCGTCTTTGCTATTCGCAGTGTCTAAGAAAGGAATCTAGATAAAGACAAACGTGTTACAAGGGATACTAGCTCGATATTTTATTCACTGGATTTAAGGGGTGAACGACCTGAAGACTAACTCTCTCAAGGAGTCCAGACTCCCAACTGCCGTCCGCAATGCATTTTAATGCCTCATTGTTATTTACGAAATTCTGTACAAACCTTTTGTTCCATTATACCGTTGTTGTGAACATTGTTTTTTTGTTTACTCTCTTATGCAACACATTGCACAAATGTGAAGATTGTAAGCATAGTGTTTTGCTTACAAATACTTGGTAAAAGCAAAAGCAAAGACATGTTATCGGTTTATAAATCGACATAAAACCTAATGTTGACCATGCGGATGTCCATGGGCGTCGCTGACCACCTCGTTGTTCTCGCCGCTCATTTGCCCCCCTTTATTACAAAAAAAAACTGCCACTGAACAAAATCTTTAACGGTCAACAATAATAAATTCCCTCGTGAATTTAAAGAACAAAACAATAATAAGGACACGACGAAACGATAGAACTCATGAGCTTAAAAAATTGGCGAAAGTAAAAAATAATCTTTTTCTCTCGTGTTTACATGAAAAACTTCATAGCAACTATTCACCAATCCACCATTTATATTGATATACAAATGGCGCTAGAAAAACATCGTCAATCTTGAATAATAAACCTTTACCAAACCGCACTCCGACAATCATTATGGAATTAATTAAACAGGTTTAAAACATGGCCGAATGGGCAAGCGATAAAAATATTGGCGTATGGATTTAGCTGAATTTTTAAAAAGAGTATTTTTATAAAAAAAAAAGCCCTTGTATATTTTGAATTACTCTTAAAGGAATTGTAAAGTTGAGTTTAAAGTCTAATTTTACAAGGTAACTTTAGAGTACTTACAATAATACATCATTTGAATTTTTTTAATACCATGATTTCTAATGGTTTGTTCATGAACATCAATGCTTGCATCATGTTATGGCCGATAGATGTATGGAAAATCATGTTGAGATGAACCTCCATTTAGAAGTACGAGATGAATTAGGGCCAAAAGATTTTGATAGAACAAGATTGAAGCCAAGCTTGAAACATAAATTTAGTACCATAAGTGTAGAAATAAAGTTCCTATAGTACCTCTACGTAAATACCGTAATTTGTAAATCCTTAATTAAAAGTGCGTTGTGTACCATCGCAGGGGAGGGGAGGAAGGGGGAAAGTAGGTATTTTTAAACTTTAATTAAAGTCAATGCGTGTCGATGTCAACATCCATTAATTAACCTCTGTGCCGTGCGACTGAGCACTGTCTGCTCTGCCTACACCCGCTAGTGCCAAATTGAACCTAATTGGGGTAGCGTTGATTTAACAGAGTATAAAATTACATTAATTACTGCCATTGTTAAGTGTCTGTATACATAGACTAAGTCGAAAAGTTAAATATTTAAACACTACCTGTCTCACTCATATACTTTAAATATTCATAAGACTAGAGAGAGAGAAACTACCTCTAGTACAAGATAAAAAAAAGTCACCAAGAAGACACGACAAGTTCTTTGTATTCGAGCTTTCATAGCTGTAATTTTAGCATTTCTGAGATTCAGCTATTTCTAATCATGCATAAACAAAACACTAACAAAACAAAACACTGAAAATACAAAAGAAATGCTATAACGAGATATTACCTTTGTGCAGAAGGAGCACCCACAACCCTGGATGACAGTGACCTTGTCGGCTGGCGTGTCCTCCAAGCACAGCTTGCAGTTGACGGGTGCAGCCGGGACGAAACCACCGCCAGCGCCGTCCAGAGAATACCTTTAGTATACACAACATATAAATACATGTTTATTAAAACTCAGCTGCAGCTTGGTAAAGCTACGCAGCCAACCTCTAAGTGGAAATTGAGTCTAAAATATTATTAGCCTAATTGACAATATTTTGAAATTAACAGTCCAAAACTATTGGCAACATTCATTTATAGTACCGGGAATAATATTCACATTGTAAGTTATTCTAATAAAGAAATGCGGTCTCTCCAAAAATCCCTCTAATCTTAAAGTAATTAGTAGCAAAGATAGTACAATTCTTGCTAAATATTTACTTCATTTACAATCACATTTCTTGTTATCAACAATAAAAAAAATACATAACTTGATAAAGAATATAAAAACCCGTATGCCTCATCTTTCTTTGTCACGTGAATTATGAAAAGAACCGGAGTTTGCAATTATTTATAGATTAAAGCTGTCAAGCAAATAATTAATGATAGGAAATTCCGCATGTGGGTGCTAGTATAGAAGCTAGACAGTTTTGTAAGTGTGGTCATTGAGGTTAACCGCAAACGCAATGTCTGTTCAGTTTATGAACTGGCCTGTAAATTGCAGATAGCAATAAAAAGACAAATTATGTGCTATATCCATACTAATATTATAAAGAGGAGAGATTTTTAATTTTGTATGAAATGACCATACAATTACTACTGGGCCGATTTTAAATTCTTACACCACTAAAAAAGCTACGTTCTCAGTTAGTAACATACTCGTAGGCTTTATGTTTTATTACTTTTTTAATTTTACGCGGACGAAGTCGCGAGCAACAGCTAGTGTGTAAAAAAGTAATGAAAAATAGTTGACCGTTATTTGAAGACAGACTTTCGAAGACAAAACGGGAGAGGTGGTAGACTATATAAAATACACTAGAATAAAACAACTAATGGCTTAGCCAGAAAGAGGTCTAACATATGCTTTATATTTACAACTATGTTACATTACCTAGATCCTCCAGCACCTGCGAGAGACAACAGCGAGGAGCATCGGGAGCAGACGGAGGGCGCTCGCAGACGATTGTGCGCGCGCATCGGCTCGCCGACACGTTCACCAACACGCTCGCGGTCGCTTAGCGCTAACACGGTCGAACATTTACGAAGACCTACAAAAGAACAATATTAAATGTAATTGTTAAAATCAATTTCCACTGGACAAACATCTGACTAGAGAACCTGAAAACTAATCACAGGGTATGAGTGCAAATAAAAGCTTTTACAATCTATTAAGTAACAATGTACTAAAAAATTCTCTTTACCCCTGAACTTCACACAGATATAAGATATATTGGTGTATTTACGCTAGAAATAGGAAACTTTTTCAGCGTACTCTTGCGTATGTCGGTCATAAATCTACAGCAATTTAGTATGCAAACAACATTGCCGATACAAAAGGATTACGCGTGCAAAAATACTAGGAGAATTTCAATTACAATCAGTACTCGATAAACTACTGTGATAACCAAAGGTGCCTGAATGTCTACGTATTTCACTATAGTTTATCTTACTTAATATTATAAATGCAAAAGTTTAGATGGATCAATGTTTGTTAGAGTTTGTAACCTGTTTATAGCCTGGAAGAACACATAGCCTACTTGCTTTTGATTTTTTTTTAATTCTATGCGGACGGAGTCGCGGGCGAAAGCTAGTTTCACTATAGTTTCTTATTTACTACATTTGGGTTAAATAATTTTAGTAACATTACCAACATCACAAATTACAGTCTCAAATAAAAGTTTAATTGTAAATAAACGACAAATACGTAATGAAATTGACGCCAAATTATATATAAATCACTTGGCAACGTAAATGTGCATTCTACAGATCGATTTAGATGAAACATTTCATGTATTACGTTTTTATTGCAAAAATGGATAGACTAATATGATTTCCACATAAACTTTTCAAAGACACTAATCAATAATCCAATATATAACGTCAAATAAGCAATATTGTATGAACGAGTGAGGACAGGGCCGCCAAGGTAAATCACCACCTTGGCCCGGTTCAGACACATCAATAATATTGATAAAACAATCGCCAATATATTTAAGGCTATCACTAATTGACGAGATTCCTGCGACAAGCTTATTGAATCATAGCCAATGACAAGAAATCCAAGTAAAAGAAAAACTACTCATGTGATATACATGAAAAAACTAATGGAATTGCGCAATATTAAAAAAAAGACATCTAAAATTAGGCATAGTGAAATAATATTTGTAAAAGCGAATTGTAAAATCGAGAACACTACAAATCTAAATTACCACAAAAACCAGTTACAAAACATTTTCTTATACTCAAATAGTGTAGGTGTACCATCTAGCAAAACAACATTGTTGTAATACCTTTCAAACTAAATAAAAGTCTTTGTATGTACACACAGATATCGATCTCCTAACAGGAAGCGTCAATGGTATTATATTCGCAATTATGCAGGCTATAATTAGCATATCAGTAAAGACGAATCTTGGTCGTGGCCGTCTTTGTCGTTGAAGTTAATAATAGACCGTCTCAATTGAAGATGAATAGAGATCGGGTCAACGAGATAGATACACGTGTACAGAAGCTTTAGAAATAAACCGAGATTAAAATAGACTACGCAATATTTACATTTGAAACGACGTTTCTATCAAGTTTATGGTATATCTGCTACCATAACGTGGAATTATATTATAAAGCGAGTTAATTCGCTTTAAAACTAGGTGATAGATTATTAGCTTGTTATAGTATTTGTTGCTGTAACTTTAGTTTCCGGTCTTTTCATTAAATACTTCTTAGATTGAAAATAGATGACTTAAACAAGACTTCTCATGTTGTGCTCCTAAAATCAAATGTATATTGATGCACAGAATAACAACCGTATACTATTAAAAACTGAAAAATAAACAGGACTCTAGTCTAATAGATTGCTATTACCATCTTCTGAAGGGACTGTCGGTGTTTCACTCCTCATATAAACTCGTGCTCGAATCGCGCTAGTGGAAAAAGGGCATAATGTAGCCATCATTACCTTCTAGCAGCGGTTGGGGCTGCGAGAGCACGGAGTCGCGTGACGCAGCACGGCGCACTGGCCTGGCTGGCCGTGCCAGCGACTTGAGACCACTGCTGAGCAGCAACTCCAGCGCCCGTCGCCCGCCCGGGCCCGTCGCGCCTGCTCCCATCTGTACAACAATAAACTTCTATTATACTCCTGTTCGAAATATACCTAAAACGTATTCTAAATTCAGAATAAAACGTACCAGTCGACATTGTGCACGAATTGTATTAAACAAAACTCTTTGAACATTGCTATTGCTTTGACTAACGATGAAATCAATATTCTATCCTTGAGATCGACTCAAGAAATATTTTAATCATGAAACGGAGTACACAAATTATTAGATCGGCCTCAAAACAATAGAAGAACTGTTTCGATGGATAGTGTTTACAAGGTGACAAAAGAAAAACGAAAATATCGTGGATAATAAAAAAATGAATATTGATTTCGGGTATAAGGTACGCTCGTTGGGTTACACAATCAGCCGCAGTACAAAACATCTCAAATATTGTGTAATCGTATCAAGGTCAAGACATTCATAACTCGTATTTAACTCTCCATAAGATTAAAAGCAACGATCTATCAAAGATATACAAGAATAAAATGGAAAAATAAAAGTTTTTTTGATACACCACTCATACCGATGAAGAAAACATTACAAGATAATAGATTATTGTTCTAAAAAACAATGGATTACAAATCAAAAATTTCACCTCCATAACCTTTAAACTTTGGGTTTCCAGAGATTTGTATTAAAACACTTGTAAACAGTAACTTACATTAACAAAAATGTTATCACTTTCTTTTACGCAAAACATCTTTTTGCAAGTCAGTACACGAAGTTACACTCGAGAGCAAAATATTGCGGTTACTTTGGACATGCAGTACGCAAATCCTACCACCAAGTATTTCAACAGTAACTAGTTAGTATCCCACTCGGAAAGCGACTGCCTTCTACCAACTCTTTGTATGGAGAATGACGCAAATACAATACACATTTTAGTGATGTGTAAGTCATACAAAATGCATTGTAAATTGGAATTTTGCTAATAAAATGTAACAAACAATCGTTTGTTTCTCTGAACAACAATGCCGTTTGTTATTTCGAATTAGCTACAATGTTATTAATTGGTACAGAGTATTGCAATTATTAAAATACATTTGCTCGAGATTTCGTCCCATGTAAATTAAAAAAAAAGCAATATCCTATGTGTTATACCAGACTATGTTCTATATCTGTGCCTATTTTCAAAGAGTTTCGTTAAGCCGTTTTGGAGATATAATAAACATCCATCCATTCAAATTTAAACTATCGCATTTATAATATTAGTACCACGTTTTAAAACCAACCAACTAAATGTTTATTAAATTAAACCATAATCTTTAGCTATATTATAAAGAGAGAAGATTTGAATAATTGCAATTTTGTACGTTTTGAAATAATTAAAAAACTACTTGGACGATTACAAAAATTCTTTCACCATTAAAAAGGTACGATATCGCTGAGTAACATAGGCTATATTTTTAAATTTCACATGGACAAAGCCGCGAGCAACAGCGATTATAGCTAATAAATATAACGTAAGATAGATATCATCAAATCTGGCCATTTTCTTTGATCAATTACGTAACCATTACGTTTTTCAACCAATTTATTTCCTTGTGAGCGCTCACGTTGCATTTCGTTCCCAGGCAGGTCTGAATACGAATTCATTGGCGATAACGTGACCGTGTTATGCAAACAGTACTGTTCTGCCGATACCGTCTTGCGCAACACGCGATCATCGAATGAGTACAAATTAATTGGATTTAGAGTCTTTAAGCGGAGATTTTGTTATACAATAAGCTATCGCTACTAGATCTGACTTCCATTTAGTGTCCTATTTCCACTTCACCACACTGTAATAAACTTTAGGGAATTCGCGCGTATAAGCACTAAGTGGAAATAGGTATTAGGACCCATTTACACGGGCAACTGTTTGAAAACGTATTTTAGGCTATAACTTCACTAGCTTTCTCGACTCCGTCCACGCGGAATTAAAATAATATAGCGAGTAGCCTATGTGTTCTTCCAGACTATGTTCTACATATCTAAATATTACAGGGATCCGTTCAGCAGTTTAGCCTACAAACTCTAACAAACATCCATCAAAATTTTCGCATTTATAATATTAGTAAGATATCGAAAATAGTAATGTTTAGAGCGCACACCTGAAACTAAACTATCGAACAACTTTTTAGTCTCGCATTGATTCCTATGTGCATATATGGAGGTGCGCTCACTACTTAATTTTTAGTTGTGCAACTAAACAATTGAATTGCTGCAAAACAATCGACAAACGTCAATCCCAAAGTGACTTCAAACAATAAAAATCCTTAATCCCGCGCCATATCACAGTGTAAAGTATGAATTATCCTTCTCCAATCCACATTATACATTCAGACCGGACACCTATAGATTTACATTTAGCAACGTGTCAGCAACACGTGACATTAACATTAATATATGCAACCGTACATTTCCATACTTTTCAAGTCCTACAGATGACCTGGAGCAAAACATTTAAAAACAAGTAAGTATCGTTTTCTAATAAGATTAAAAAAAAACAGTCCGCATCTATACTGTATACTAATGTAATAAAGCGTAAACACACACTAGTAGGATGTCAGCAATCACAGCATGTTTTAAAATAATTAATTTATAAAAAGCCCTACACTTAGAACATGCTTTAGACTATATATTTTCACGCTATTAATCTTAGGGAGTAAATAATTTGGAAAAAATCGTTATGAGGAAAAGGGACAAAAATACAAGCTGACATCAAGGAAACAGGGTTGCCTTAGTAACGGTAATATTTATCCAATGTCAAGGCCTTCGATGTCATTTGAATTTTGACATTTGCAATTGGAACAAATGTAAACAATCAAAATTTCTAAAGCGTATATAATGTAAGCAAGCAAACAAACAAAAAATCAAATCTTCCCCCAATATAATAATTAACAAATAAAAAATTGTTGTGCACAAAACAATAATAATAATAAATTTAATTATCCGCATAATAATTTGTGTGTCGAAATAACGCAGCGTTGTGGCGCGAACACGAGGCACGTGCGGACAAGGCACGTGCGGTGACGTCATGCAGAGCACCACGTGAAGTTGGGACACTTCTAGTCGTTTTACATCTTTTGACATAATGCAAAAATTACAAATAAAACAGCACAAAGATGTAATGCAACTGGAAGTGACAAAAGCTGCCCCCACTCAGACACATTTAACGACTACTAAAATAAGTTCAGTGTAGTTTTTAAATAATTTGTTAATGTAAAATGTTAACATTATATTTGGGAGATATCTATATAGTATTTTCTCTATGACCGTATACCATGCAATAAAAACGGATCAGTTACCAATGGACGAATGATGGTTTCAGCGGCCAATTTCTATTTTGTTTACTTAACCCAAAAATCCTTAGGTTATTAAACCGAATGGAAAATCATTCTATACGCAAGTTTTAAGAATATTTTTGACAAATGTAGAAGTGTTACATACATAAAAAAATATTATAAAGAAGAAAAAAAAAACATCGACTAACAGAAAACCGTTCTTTTATTTGACTACATATGTATATGGGTGGCTATAAATTATAATGAGTTTTTAAGAGATTAGTAATAAAGAATTTTTTGTTGAAATTTTAACTTAATTTTTGCCAGTATTAAAAATATCCAAATCCAATCTTTTCCTTAATGCTAAATTATGGGCAGTAAATCATTTTTTAAAAAACCGAATTCCATCAGGTTAATTTACAAAAATAATAGCCATATAATAATTATAAAACATAAAACAATTAATATGTGACGATTGATTTTGTTATTACTAGCTTTCGCCTGCGACTTCATCCGCGTGGAGTTAAAAAACAAAAGCAAATAGTATATGTGTTCCTCCCAGACTATTCTCTAAGTGTATGCCATATTTCATTGAGATCCTTTCAGCCGTTTAGGCGGCAAACTCCAACAAACATCCATCCATCTAAGCTTTCGCATTTATAAAACTAGTAAGACTAGTTTTGATAACAACTAAGAGTACTTCAGAAAAAGTTATTAAAAACCACTATCGCTATGACTTCCAGCGCCAGTAATAAACATTTATCGTTTAGTTCAAAAATAAAACACGATTAATTGAGAGTATTTTTTTATCTGTTCTTCTGGAGTTTTAAATATTAATTGCGCGTGATGTTTTACTTCATTTCAATTGAATAAAAAAAATAAAGGCTTAACTCAAGGTTACTGTTTTAAAAATGGTGAATTTAAAAATTAAATCATCGGAACAAAACATGGCCAAGAATTTAAATTTTTAAAAATAATTAAACTGAAATTAGTAAAGCAACTGGCCGTTCAATTTACCTCGTATTATTTTTAAAGTCAAATTTCAGCTATAAAACTTAATTAAGGATAACATCCGTGATCTTTATTTAGTTAAAAAAATTCTGCATTTTATTTTAGGCATTTAATAAAATTAAGTTTTGGATAAAGCAACTCTCCGTGTACTAAAACACATGTCTTATATCTGTAAGCGAATTAAAGCGACGTCAAAGCCTATGGGTGTTGTGGCTTTTAAGTATATAATGACGTCACAGTTTGCTAATTACGTTCCTGGTCGTCAAGGACCTTTCGCTCCTTTTGAGTTGGAAATTCTTCTAGTGTCAGTTTGCTTTTCTTGGAATTTCACTTGTGTTAACAATTTATATGAACACATTCACCGTGTATTGTTACCTTAATAATGATATTGGACAGCAGAGATTCAAGGTGTTTCCTTAATTTTTCGTTGACATTCAATATCGTTATTAAGACAACGATCACTGGTCTTATAAACTCTGTTGTGTTATTCGATTGTTTATATTAGCATCCATCCCTTTCATTTTCCATTAAAAGTATGCGACAAAACTATATTTATATACGCAAATTTCGACAACGTAAACTTACGTGTATATAACATAATGTAATATTTTCATTTCTATACAGAGTTAAGTTGACGTCTTCTATAATGTTATTGGTTTAGATTTTCTTCAAGCTTTAACAATGATATTAATAGTTAATCTACACAAAAAGAAAAAAAGCCCTTACGTC